AAGTGATCCACCTGCCTCAGTCTCTCAGGAATTACAGGTGCCTGGCCTAAGCCTTTATGTTTTATTCCTCTGACTTGCAGGCTAAAGCTGCAGCTCTTCCATATCCCATTGCTATCTCCTAGGGCTTCTGCTAGGAGACTGATCTGGGGCTAGAGGCCTGGCTCTATGCACACGAGAAAGCTGGGAATGTCACCTCCCAGGGCTCTGCCTGCCTCTCAGAGCCCTGAAAGCCATAGTGGGAAGAAGTGGGGCTGACACAGACATCTGAGGAAAGAAGTGAGGCCGGGGGGAAAGGGCGGGACCATAGGAGGAAGGGTAGGAGGGCTTTCGGAGGTGCTGCCTCTCCTGGCCTCCTGTACAATGAGAGTGCATTGGACTCTCCATTCTCTGGCACCCACACACTGTGGGGCCAATAACCTGGGTCTCAGTCCTGAATCAGGTAGGAGAGAGGGTTATCGGGAATGACTTCTTGGGCTTCCCTGCCTCAGGATTCCAGGCCCGGATTCGAACTTACAATCAGCATAACAACAATGTGCTACGGGGTCCAGCGAGCCAGCGGCTGTATATCCTCTTCCCATTGGACTGTGGGGTGCCTGACAACCTGAGTACAGCTGACCCCAACATTCGCTTCCTGGATAAACTGCCCCAGGAGACCATTGACCGTGCTGGCATCAAGGGGCGGGTTTACACCAACAGCATCTATGAGCTTCTGGAGAACGGGCAGCGAGTGAGTGAGCAGGGAAGTGGGGGTCCCTGGGGAGGGCTCAGGACCCCCAGAACCCTGGGCCATGGCCAAGCACTGATGAAAATTCACTGCCCTTCTCTGAGCTGTAGTATCCCTAGGGCTGGGCAGGATTCAGCTCTGAATGATAATGATTAGTAACATTTATTGAGCACTTACCACATGCTGGCTGCCATTCTGGGTGTGTCATCTGACCTCCTCCTTGAATTCTCACCACCGCCCTATGGGGTAGGGACTGTTAGCATCCCCACTTCAGAGGAGGACACTGAAGCTCAGAGACACAGTAGGAAAGTGAACAATTTCAACTTGACTGTACCATGCACTTGACCATAAAGCTGCCCTAGACAAAGGCTGTGAGAATATTTGAAGGATTTAATGTGGGTGCAGGGAACCCAGACCAGAGTTGAACCCCAGAGCCCAGCCCCAGACCTGATTCCCAGCTGCAGCAGTTGACAGCCTCACTCTGCGGGTCTTGCCCTGGGATCTTAGGAGGAAGATCTGTGAAGGGTAAATGTAGCCCAGCCCTGGCCTTGATTTCAGAATTGGGTATCAGAGGCAAAGGCATGCCAGACAGCATAGACCCCATCAGGGTGGCCACCTCCCAGGACTCCATCATTACAGGCTGAGGGAGTGGGGCTTCAGCCTGTGACACTGGGGCCAGGGCCTGTACTGGACCCTCCATTCTCCATCCTCCTGGGTCCTGGCTTAGTCTGGTCTTCCTCTTTCCTCCTCCAGGCAGGAGCCTGTGTCCTGGAGTACGCCTCCCCGCTGCAGACTTTGTTTGCCATGTCACAATATGGCCAAGCTGGCTTTAGCCGGGAGGATCGGCTTGAGCAGGCCAAACTCTTCTGCCGGACACTTGAGGACATCCTGGCAGATGCCCCTGAGTCTCAGAACAACTGCCGCCTCATTGTCTATGAGGGTGAGGGGTTGATGGAGTGAGGGGTTGACAGGGTGAGGAGTTGATAGGGTGAGAGGTAGATGGAGTGAGGGGTTGATAGGGTGAGGGGTTGATAGGGTGAGGGGTTGATGGAGTGAGGGGTTGATAGGGTGAGGGGTTGATGGAGTGAGGAGTTGATAAGGTGAGAGGTAGATGGAGTGAGGTGTTGATAGGTGAGGGGTTGTGGAGTGAGGGGTTGATGGAGTGAGGTGTTGGTGGAGTGAGGGGTTGATAGGGTGAGGGGTGGATGGAGTGAGGGGTTGATAGGGTGAGGGGTAGATGGAGTGAGGGGTTGATAGGATGAGGGATTGATAGGGTGAGGGGTAGATGGAGTGAGGGGTTGATAGGATGAGGGATTGATAGGGTGAGGGGTGGATGGAGTGAGGTGTTGATGGAGCAAGGGGTTGATAGGGTGAGGGGTTGATGGAGTGAGGTGTTGGTGGAGTGAGGGGTTGATAGGGTGAGGGGTGGATGGACTGAGGGGTTGATAGGGTGAGGGGTAGATGGAGTGAGGTGTTGATGGAGTGAGGAGTTGATAGGGTGAGGGGTAGATGAGTGAGGTGTTGATAGGGTGAGGGGTTGATAGGGTGAGGGGTTGATGGACTGAGGGGTTGATAGGGTGAGAGGTTGATGGAGTGAGGGGCTGATAGGGTGAGGGGTTGATAGGATCAGGGGTTGATGGAGTGAGAGGTTGATGGAGTGAGGAGTTGATAGGATGAGGGGTTGATGGAGTGAGGGGTTGATAGGGTGAGGGGTTGTTAGGGTCAGGGGTTGATAGGATGAGGGGTTGATGGAGTGAGGGGTTGATAGGATGAGGGGTTGATAGGTTAGGGGTTGATGGAGTGAGGGGTTGATGGAGTGAGGGGTTGATAGGATGAGGGGTTGATAGGTTAGGGGTTGATGGAGTGAGGGGTTGATGGAGTGAAGGATTGATAGGGTGAGGGATTGATAGGTGAGGGGTTGGTGGAGTGAGGGCTTGATGGAGTGACGGGTTGATAGGGTGAGGGGTTGATGCAGTGAGGGGTTGATAGGGTGAAGGGTTGATGGAGTGAAGGGTTGATAGGGTGAGGGGTTGATGCAGTGAGGGGTTGATAGGGTGAGGGGTTGATGGAGTGAGGGGTTGATAGGGTGAGGGGTTGATGGAGTGAGGAGTTGATAGGATGAGGGGTTGATAGGTGAGGGGTTGATGGAGTAAGGATTGATAGGGTGAGGGATTGATAGGTGAGGGGTTGGTGGAGTGAGGGCTTGATGGAGTGAGGGGTTGATAGGGTGAGGGGTTGATGCAGTGAGGGGTTGATAGGGTGAGGGGTTGATGGAGTGAAGGGTTGATAGGGTGAGGGGTTGATGCAGTGAGGGGTTGATAGGGTGAGGGGTTGATGGAGTGAGGGGTTGATAGGGTGAGGAGTTGATGGAGTGAGGAGTTGATAGGATGAGGGGTTGATAGGTGAGGGGTTGATGGAGTGAGGGGTTGATGGAGTGAGGGGTTGATGGAGTGAGGGGTTGTTAGGGTGAGGGGTTGATGGAGTGAGGGGTTGATAGGATGAGGGGTTGATAGGTGAGGGGTTGATGGAGTGAGGGGTTGATGGAGTGAGGGGTTGTTAGGGTGAGGGGTTGATGGAGTGAGGGGTTGATAGGATGAGGGGTTGATAGGTGAGGGGTTAATGGAGTGAGGGGTTGATGGAGTGAGGGCTTGATGGAGTGAGGGGTTGATACGGTGAGGGGTTGATGGAGTGAAGGACTGATAGGGTGAGGGGTTGATAGGGTGAGGGGTTGATGGAGTGAGGGGTTGATAGGGTGAGGGGTTGGTAGGCTGGAGGACAGCAGGAGTCAGGGGTCCCAGGGTCTTCCAAAGAGTCAGAAGGAGCTATGGCAGCACCACACCCTGGGCCTGTCCTTCCTTCCCTGGGAGAAGTCCCCCTCTTCTCAGCATACGAGATTGCTTTTTTAGGTGTTTGACTGGAGTCCCTCTGTGAAGCCTGAAGAGGTGGGTTCTAGGGGACTGTCACTTTATCTGGGATTCCAGAGGAAACAGAAGAGTCCCAGGTCGGTATGCACTGGGCACAGGAGGCTGGGGCTGCAGCCTTGGCTCTGCTGCTCCCTCACTGTGTGACCTTGGGCAGGTTTCTGCTCCTCTCTGAGCATCAGCTCTAAAAGTGAACGTGTGGAATTTCATTCTCCCGGAAACCACTTTTAGCTCTAGGATTCCATGAAACTCTAGCCCTGTGGCTGGGGTGGGGGATGGGTAGGAACAGCAGGTAGGGAGGGTTAGGGAATCTTCCCAGCAAGTCTTCTAGACGTGTTCAAGTGGCAATGTGTAAGGTCCTCACTCCACTCTCCACCATCTCCCTGTTTCAGAACCTGCAGATGGAAGCAGCTTCTTGCTGTCCCAGGAGGTTCTCCAGCATCTGCGGCAGGAGGAAGAGGAGGAGGTTACTGTGGGCAGCTTGAAGACCTCAGAGGTGCCCAGTACCTCCACGATGTCCCAAGAGCCTGAGCTCCTCATCAGTGGAATGGAAAAGCCCCTCCCTCTCCGCTCGGATCTCTTCTGAGACCCAAGGTCACCCTGCCTGAACCTCTGGTGGTCTCCAAGGCCCTGGACTGGGGGCTTTCTTCAGTGGCTGAATGTCCAGCAGAGCCATTTCCTCCCACAGGGGTCTTGCAGGGAAGGGCCCAGGACTTGACATGTCCAGATGAGTCCTGCCCTCTTGGGCCAGTCGTTTCCCCTCTCTGAGCCTCGGTGGCTTCAGCCTATGAAAGGGAACATAATCACTGCCCTTCCTCCCTCACGGTTGTAGTGAGGACTGAGTGTGTGGAAGTTTCTCGTGAGCTCTGGATGCTAGGTGCTTAAGGCATGTGCCAGGTGTCTTTCATTGGGCTTTCCAGACCTACTCCCCACCCTTCTCCCCTTCCTCTGCTCTGGTATACCAAACTCTCTCGATGGTATCAACAGGCTCCCTTGCCCTCTGGGTCCTGGTCATGTTCCATTATTGGGGACCCTCAGCGGGAGAATGGAGGGGAGGATGCTGAATTTGGGGTAGTGGATCCTCCCGCCCCACCCTGCAGCATTGAGGTTGCCGTAGGCTCTCCTGCCGGGCAACCCTTGCATAACCGACTGTCTCTAGGGTTCTGGAACTGCTTCCTCCACTAGCCCCTTACGTCTAGCTGTGTATGGGCCCCACCTCTACCCCACTAGAGTCCTCCCTCTCACCTTCGGTTTCCTTACACTCCGCCCTTTCTCAATGATCCCTTTTTAAAGGATGCCTCAGATTACCCAATGTGAGTATCGTCTTTTTCCTACTGGACTCTGACTGATATAACAGATGGGATTTACTGTCCCTGATGCCCCAAACCTGCCTGCACATGCATGCTTCCCTGCACCCCTCCTCATCCTAGTACAGGCCAGCAGGGGGCTGGGTGTCATTTTCCATCTGGATGGAGCCTATCCATTGTGCTGAGGGCACCTATTCTTTCAGTGCCCTTGTCTCCAGTGAGAGGCCTGGGGAGCAGGGACCATAGGCTTGGCCTGAGCCAGCACAGAGATGATGCCATGAGGTGGTACACAGCTGTGTTCTGGGGCCACTCAAAGGAGCAGGGGTTACTAACTATATGTGCCAGATGAGTGAGCCTGCAAAGGGACAAGGGGGAAAGAGTTTGTGTGATGAGATGGGACAGTTCGTGGAGTGCCTTGGACAGCACAGCCAGCTGCCGTACCTTTCGTACCTTTCGCCATCATGGCCACAACTGAGCCATTGTGACAATGCTGTGTAGATGCAGCTGCCTCCATCTGAAGGGAAGGCAGCTCATCTCTGCTAGTTCCATTTGTCCCACCAGGCTGGGCTCATTCTCTCCCTCCCACCTTTTTTTTTTTCATTCATAAATGTTCAGTATACATTTCTGAGTATAGCATCACTGTGGAGAAACACTCCACACAGACACACATTGGACAGAAGGAACCAGCTCCCCCTAAGGATGGCAGAGCCAAGGGGGTCAAGCGGGAACAGTCCCCACTCTCCTGAAGTATCCCAGCCACCCTGTCCCCAAGGCCTGAGAATCCTCCATCATCACACCAGTGGCTCATATACCAGAAACCAACCCAGAATCAAAGGTCTTTTCAATCCATCCAGTCCCTAGCATAGGGCTTAGGCTGTGGAGTCTGATGACCCCAGGCTCAAATCCTGACTTCACCACTTAGTACCTGTGTCTACCTAGGTGTCTTGATAAACAAGCCTCAGTTTCCCCAAGTGTAAAGCGGGGATAGCAGCGGCCCCTCCCCTGGAGGTTGTTTCGAGGAGTGAATGGTATCATATCTGTAGGTCCACAGAGAAGCCTGGTGTCTTGCCCCTGTCCAACAAGGGGCACTATTAACATTTTAGCTGCCTCTCCCCAGTCCCAAAGGAGGCAAGCCTGTTCTCTACACACACTGCAGTCCCCACCTCTGTTCCTTTTTATCTTCTGTTATTTCCCAGCCAATGCCACAGGGGTTCCCCAGGGTAAAGCACCAGAGGTCCTGCCATAAATGTCTGTCTGCATGTTCTGGACTGCAGATGAGTGAGATTCAGAAGTGCTGGGGAAGGCAGTGCCATCAGGAGGCACTGAGCCACCAGGAGGCCCAGTTTTGTCTTTCTGGCCCCTGGCTGCATCTTCCTGACCCCCCTGCTGAGTAGATCCAGGCCCTCCCAGTGCTGGTAGTGGTCCCCACCCCACTCCTTCCTTCCCCAAACAAGTTCCATGGAGCTCTTTTTCCTTTCCCGTTTTTCATCAGCTGGAAAGATCTGGGAAATGTCCTGTGGTACATTCTAGGCTTTTCCAACAGGCCCAGGCACACAGAAAGTGGAAGGCAATGAGAGTCCCCCAAACTCCTCCATCCCTTCTGGGGAGGCAAGACAGAGTCGGTGGGGGCCTTTGAAACCCAGTCTTTGTTGTTTTTCTTTGAGACGGAGTTTCGATCTTGTTACCCTGGCTGGAGTGCAATGGCACAATCTCGGCTCACAGCAACCTCCGCCTCCTGGGTTCAGGCAATTCTCCTGCCTCAGCCTTCTGAGTAGCTGGGATTACAGGCACGCGCCACCATGCCCAGCTAATTTCTTGTATTTTTAGTAGAGACGGGGTTTCACCATGTTGACCAGGATGGTCTTGATCTCTTGACCTCGTGATCCACCTGCCTTGGCCTCCCAAAGTGCTGGGATTACAGGAGTGAGCCACTGCACCCCGCCTTGAAAGCCAGTCTTTAAACTATAAATTGTGCTTGGGCTTACAAGGACTTTGGAGCTTGTCAACAAGGTCTGGGCCCTGACAGCTGAAGGATGGCCCGTGACTGATGGAGGACAGGCATTCGTCACCTCCCTGAGCCCAGGGAGTCTCAGGGAAGGCAGACCCCAGCTTCTCTGCCTGGGCTCTCCCTGGCTGGCCTTTGTAGGATCAGGGCCGCTCCGGGGCCTCTGGCATTCCTGCTTGGGGGAGCTGGTGGAATCTCCCAAGCTGGATTCACAACAAAAGGGAAGAAGACTAGGAGTTCGGTGAAGGGGCAGAGACTCTGAAAAGGAGATTCAGGGGTCTGGTGGTCCCTGAAGAGGGAGTGACCTTGTGAGTTGGCCTTGGGCCCTGGGAAGGTGCCCAGCAGCGTGTTTCTGGGCAGGACCCTCGAGCTTCTTTGACGTCTCCTGCCCACCACAGGGCTTTCTCTATAAATGTTCTGAGAGAGCAGCTCCAACCAAGTCCAGTGTGCCCTTCCGACGCTCTGATGCCCAGGCTTCAATTTGCTTTTGCCCTATTTCTCTGTCTGGTTTCTTGTTCTGAGCTAGGTCAGGCTAACTTTCCAGTCTCGCTGCTACAGATATGTGACTTCATTGATGCTGGGCCTGGGTCCATCTGGCACAGGGCAGGAGCCAGGGACAAGAGGGCCCTGCGGTGCTTCTTCAGGACTGTCTTGGGGGCCCAGCACCCGCCAGTGGATGAGGTAGATGCCATCCTCTGGCTTTGGGGTTGGTGGCTCTGTAGGGAGTGTGGCATGGCCCTGGTGCAGCCTTGGCCCAAAGTGGACTGCCACCACGATGCAGACTGCCAGCAGAACAAAGATAGTGACGATGATGGTGACTACGTGCAGCCCATCACCTCGAGGTGATTCCCAGGTGCCACCTAGCACCTCCGGAAGCTGCCTCTGGGGCTCCTGCCCCCATGAACTGTTCACAGCTGGAGAAGGCCAGGAGTAGTGGCCAGCCTGGGAGGGGAGTGGCAGAGAGAGAGGGTGACATGGATGTATACACACAGAATATGACCAAAATAAAGAGAGACAAACACCCAAAGGAACCTGAGGTTTGGGGTGGGGCAAGGGACCAGAGACAAAGGCAGAAAGACAAAAAGTCAGAGTAAAGACCTAGAAAGAGACAGATAATACAGAGGTAAACCACATGGCAACAGAGACCATAAAAGAAAAAGGCAGCCTGGGCACGGTGGCTCACACCTGTAATCCCAGCACTTTGGGAGGCCAAGGCAGGCAGATCACCTGAGGTCGGGAGTTCAAGACCAGCCTGACCAACATGGAGAAACCCTGTCTCTACTAAAAAATACAAAATTAGTCGGGCATGGTGGTGCATGCCTGTAATCCCAGCTACTTGGGAGGCTGAGGCAGGAGAATCACTTGAACCTGGGATGCAGAAGTTGCGGTGAGCTGAGATCATGCCATTGAACTCCAGCCTGAGCAACAAGAGCAAAACTCCATCTCAAGAAAAAAAAAATGAAAAAGAAAAAGGCAGAAAAAGCAGAGGGTGACACAGAGAGGGAGAAAGAGGAAAAAGGAAAAAAAAAGACACATAAAAACAGGGACAGAAATAAAGATAGAGAAAAAGAAACAGAAGCAGGGAGACAAAGTCATTCAGATAGGGACAAAGAGAGTGCTGGCTTCATCACAGTCCAGCATATAGAGTTTGGCCCCCCAAGTTTCTTCCCACTGTTGCCTCTCCCCAGGTCTCCAGCAAAATTCCTAAATAGATCTTGTCCCCGGGTTGGGAGTCTTGGCACGCTGTGGGCTGCTGTCCCCACATCCTGGGCAGTAGCGAGAGAGCACCTGCTTCCTAAAGTCCTGGGAAAAAGAGGTCCAGCATCTAAGGCTCTCCTTACTCCACACTTGCACGGAAGTCAGACAGACAGCACCCTGGCCAGGGGAGAGGTAGAGGGGACATGGATCTTAGAGGTCTGGAGTGAGGCAGGGGGATGCCTCTCCTATAACTGTGCCCCTGCCACCCCGCCGAGGTCTCAGCATCAAGTTCTGGGGTTCTGGAGGGGAGGGGTGCCCAGTGTGGACTCCTGGCTCTGCTCAGGATGGATTGAGGAGACCCTGTGCCAGTCTTCCTCTGTCAGAATCTCGGTGTTCTACCAAAAGCTGGGGGTCATGATCTGTACCCCTGTCTGTCTCCACCCTGTGGTGTTAGATAAGGGTGGTGGCACTGTAGTGAAGGTAGCAAAACACAAAACTGTAAGCCCTAGTGCTGATGAGGTCCTCACAGGCCCAAGAAACTTTTCCTCCTTAGTTTCCCCTTCCCAGATGGGATCTTAGCAGGTGGAGCCCCTCCCTCTAACCCTGCACCCTCAGCGTGGCCCCACCCATGGTAGGCCAGGGTTTGCCCAAGACAAACGCATTTCCTTTAGTCCCTCAGCCCCACTGTCCAAGCTATCCCATCTCCCACACGCATCCCTTTGCCTGTGGAAAGACACCCCCCAACTCCCTACCTTGCAAGTATCTTTGGGTCCCAGGCCACAAAGCTCCCAGGGCAGGGGGTAGGGAAGCAGCTCTAGATGTACAGAGGAAAAGGGGAAGCTCAGGTGGATGACAGACATGGGGCCCCCCACAGGGAGTCAGTCCAGCCTGGCAGGAAGGGGTGAGCAGAGTCTACCTGGTGCATTGTCCGGGCCGGCACGGGGCTCCCTTTGGGACTGGCGGCCAGCTGGGTAAAGGAGGGCTGGCCACCCTAGAACAGCCCCTACCCGGAGCTGCCACGTCTGCGGGGCCCACAGGCACACACCCTGTGCACACACTCTTACCGCTCTCTCATTCGCTTGCACTTCCTTCTGGGAACATCTGGGCTACCCTGGGCTCTGCCCTTAACTCTGATAGAACCTTAATCTTCCTCCTTGGCACCTCCTTTCATCCCCCTGCCAGCTTCAGGAGCCTGGGTGTGCCTGCCCACCCTTCCTCCACCGGATCCCAGAAGCCTGGCCAGCGCCCCAACCCAACCTGCCCCCAACCAAGTCATGCTGGCTCCTTGCCCCAACTGATTTCCTGGAGTTACTGTCCTTTGATCTTTTCTTTCTAAATGAAATAGTTCAAACACAATGGAAACTGCAGATAATACACTCTCTTTAATAAATACATAATACGTCTCTAAAATCTCCACGTCTCAACCGTCCGTTCTGTCTTCTCTCAGTAGTTTGTCACATTTATTTTTTAAATGTTAATATTACAATTAAAACAGAAGCCCTCACTTCCTGACGTCACCCCTCCTCACCACAGGGATAACCATCTTATAGAATTCCATGTTTAATGGCCGGGTGTGGTGGCCCACACCTGTAATTCCCATACTCTGGGAGGCCAAGGCAGGAGGATCACTTGAGGCTAGGAGTTTAAAACCAGTCTTGACAACATAGTGAGACCTTATCTCTACAAATAATTAAAAAATTAGCTGGGCGTGGTGGATTATACCCGTAGTCCTAGCAACTCAGGAGGCTGAGGTGGGAGGATCCCTGAGCACAGAAGGTCAAAGACCATGAGCCACGTTTGTGTCACTACACTCCGGCCTGTGCAACAGAGGGAGACTCCATCTCAAAAAAATAACAATAGAATTTGATGTTTATTATTCTCACACAAGCCATTGTTTTCCCTTTTTTCCTTTTGGTTTTTATAAATACAGATTCTGTATTTCTTTGCATTTGCCTGAATGCAACTTCATTTGATAGTATGTATGTGTGTGTTTTAATGTCCAAGTCACAAAAACTGCCCACTAATCTCTCCTCTCGCTAGAGACAGTTATTTTTTTTTATCTCCAGCTAACTCTGTGGGACCAGCCTTTTCTCATTCTGTCTGCTGCTGTGCACTCACCATCCTGTCTTCCAGTCTGGAGAGCTGGAGACGTCCTGGGAACTCCCCTTCACTAGAATCTTGATCCAGGATGAAGCAGAATGCAGCCTCCTGGTTCCTTGTCTCTCAGCCGAGCTGTCCCACATCCTGACATCCAAGCCCCCCACGCAGACCTCCAAGTTCACTTTGAGCCCAGATCCCTGGGCTGCTGACCTGATCTGCAAAGTGAGTGGGACCTATTGCTGGCTGACCTTGAAGCCCCTGGCTGACCCCCTCCCAGTGTGATCAGAGGCTCTCTGCTCATTCTCTGCTTCTCACCTTGGTCCATTTAGACTTCAGCCAGAGGGAATATGGACTCTGCCACAGGTCCTGAACTTCAGCCACTGCTGTTCACCTCCTGCCTCCTCAAAACACATGTGCCATTGCTCTGGCAGATACCTCCACTGGGGCTCCTGTCCTTGTGTCCAAAAGCCCAATGTTTGATTCTTGTGATGACTACTTCTTCCCTTCCCTCCCTCATTCATCCTGGATCTATTGCCTAATGGGCTTCCAAGAGGAAAGGAAGATGGTGGAACTTCTACATCTTCTTCCTTTTTTTTCTTAAAGACGGGGTTTCGCCATGTTAGTCAGGCTAGTCTTGAACTCCCAACCTCAGGTGATCCACTCGCCTTGGCCTCCAAAGTGCTTGGATTACAGGCGTGAGCCACCACGCCTGGCTCGAACTTCTACATCTTCTGTGTCACTTCTTCGCTACTGCTGTGAGCTGCCCGCCCATTCCCGCTGTCTAAACCTTAACAATCTGTTATAGCTTAGGTCAAGTGTGGCCTCCTCTAGGTACGAATTCTTCATCCCTGTACTTAAGAAACTTTCTTTCTTTTCCTTAAGCCTTACAGCCTAATGTTTCTTACCTCCTCCTAACATTTGTCACACTTTATCTTATGTTATCGGTGTGTGGCAGCTCATTTTTGCAGGAACCATGTCTCTCTCTCTCTCTCTCTTTTTTTTTTTTTTTTTTTTTTTTTTTTGAGACTGAGTCTCATTCTGTTGCCCAGGCTGGAGTGCATAGGCACAATCTTGGCTCACTACAACCTCCATCTCCTGAGTTCAAGCGATTCTAGGAACCATGTCTCATTCTTTGAGAACCATGGGGGTTTCTTGATAACAAAAGTTTGCTGATAGAAGTGGAACCTAGAGGAATGTACCCCTCCCCACCCCACAACACAAACATATCTGTTCTTAATCCTGGAGGCTTAGAGCACGCAGAACGCCCTTCTCCTGCAGGAGGACACTTCTGAGCCATGACAGAATGCTCACTGCTTTGCTCCCACTGTCTCTTTCTGGATTTTGTTGTCACAGAGCCTCTTAGGGTGGGTGGAGGGGGTACAATAATCAAGAATCTGCTCTTATTTCATAGAGAACAAATGCCCTGACTTTTGAGACTCAAGTCCTGGAACCAAAAATGAAGACTCTGGGGTCCTCCCTACCATCACCGAGCTGGGCTGGAGGGTCCTCCCTACCATCACCGAGCTGGGCTGGAGGGTCCTCCCTACCATCACCGTGCTGGGCTGGAGGGTCCTCCCTATCATCACCCTGCTGGGCTGGAGGCCCCTGAGCCAGCTCTGTACACTAGGGTCACTTTTCCTTTCCATCTCTCTGGGGAGGGTAGAAGTGGATTTGTTGGCCAATGGGAGGCAAAGAGCAACCCTTCTTTCACTCTGTCTCCACCAAATGCAGGCATGCTGAGGAGTCTGCAGAGGGGCCTGTGGGGACATCCTGAGCAGGCCAGAGCGGGGTTGCCATGATAGACTCATGGCAGGTCTGAGAACTGGCTGACTTTTGAGGTCATGGGAAACTCTGGGCCAGAGTTGGGTGAGTAAGCCAGGAGCAAAGGCTGCTTTTCTCTACCACACCCGACTTCTAGCCTTGTAAAAAGCTATAGGTCTATAAGGGGTGTGAGGTGTCTTTTTAGGATAATGGAAATGTTATATAAAATTGATTTTATTTGGGATAGGTAAACAACTCTCTGAATATATAAAAACCGGCCAGGTGTGGTGGCTCAAGCCTGTAATCCCAGCACTTTGGGAGGCTGAAGCAGGTGGATCACGAAGTCAAGAGATCGAGACCATCCTGGCCAACATGGTGAAACCCTGTCTCTACTAAAAATACAAAAATTAGCTGGGCGTGGTGGCATGTGCCTGTAGTTCCAGCTACTCGGGAGGCTGAGGCAGGAGAATTGCTTGAACCCGGGAGGCGGAGGTTGTAGTGAGCCGAGATTGTGCCACTACACTCCAGCCTGGTGCCTGGCGACAGAGTGAGACTCTGTCTTAAAAAAAAAAAACAAAACATTGAGGCTGGCATGGTGACTCATGTCTGTAATCCCAGCACTTTGGGAGGCCCAGGTGGGTGGATCATTTGAGGTCAGGAGTTCAAGACCAGACTGGCCAACATGGTGAAACCCTGTCTCTACTAAAAATACAAAAATTAGCTAGGCTTGGCAATGCGTGTCTGTGATCCCAGCTACTCAGGAGGCTGAGGCAGGAGAATGGCTTGAACCCGGGAAGTGGAGGTTGCAGTGAGCCAAGATTGTGCCACTGCACTCCAGTATGGGATACAGAAGGAGACTCTGTCTAAAAAAAAAAAGCCACTGAATTGTGCACTTCAAATGAGGAAGGGTGAAAGGGTGAGGAAGGCATCTACATAGTAGGGAAGGAATGGGAGCAGAAATGGGAGCTTGATTACTGCAAGGGGAGTGATCCAATAAGTAAATATTTAAGGATCATGGGAGCCAGAGAAGGGCCTTAGAGATGCTACACCCTAGCACTGAAGAGCACACTGACAACTCAGACCTCGGTTTCTTTTCTTTAAAAAAAATTTTTTTGAGACAGAGTTTCACTCTGTGGCCCAGGCTGGAGTGCAGTGACTTGATCTCAGCTCATTGCAGCCTTGACCTCCTAGTATTACTCGAGCCTCCTGAGTAGTTGGGACTACAGGCACACCCCACCATGCCAGGGTAATTTAAACTTTTTTTTTTTTTGCACAGACAATATCTCACTATGTTGCCCAGGCTGGTCTCAAACTCCTGAACTAAAGTTCTCTTGCCTAGGCCTCCCAAAGTGTTGGGATTGCAGGCATGAGCCACTGTGCCTGGCCCTCAGTTTTCAAATGCCATTTGCACCAAAAGGAATGAAGGCTTCTTAAAGAAATAAGCTGATTCCAGGGCTGGGGCAGGTGAAGCACAAGATGTGCCTGGAGACTCACACCTGTAATCCCAGCGCTTCAGAAGGCCAAGGTGGGTGGATCACTTGACATTAAGAGTTCGAGACCAGCCTGGGCAACATGGTGAAACTCTGTCACTACTAAAAATACAAAAGTTATCTAGGCTTGGTGGTATGTGCCTGTAACCCCAGGTACTCAGGAGGCTGAGGCAGGAGAAGGTAGGAGAATCATTTGAACCTGGGAGGAGGAGATTGCAGTGAGCCGAGATCACACCACTTCCCTCTAGCAGGGTAGTGACAGCGAGACTGTCTCAAAAAAAAGAAAAGAAAAGAAAAAGTAAGCCTGGAATATCTTATGCCAGAAAGTAAGGAAGTACTCAAAAAATGATGATGACATGTCAAAAGGACACAGAAGTCAGTTTTTAGGGGCTAAGAGTGGCCGAAATGGAGACAATTTGAGCATCAGAACAATAAATGATTGTATTCCAATCCAGTGAATAAAACAGAAATACATGAGTTTATATACAGATATAGAAACTATCTCCTCA